ACTCATAGTCCAAGGTTGTGACTTTACACTATAAAAGTATTTATTATAAAAAAGTATTTATTATAAAAGTATTTATTTGTAGAGATATGCCTGTACTAGTTTAGGTAAGGAGATCCATCTTGCCCTAATTATAAAATCGAAAGGGTAAGATCTCAGATCACAGCAAACCCTAATTTGAGCCATCTTTGGCCCTTACAAACTGCGTGCTCTTGGGAAAATTATGTAACTTCACTTTAAAGTGGAAATAATGACTGCGGCTGTGCGTACTCGTTACATAACACATCCTGTTGCCGATCTTCTACTGGGTATGCTCTAAATGGTAAATACCACTAGGAGAGGCAGACAGGAAGGGGCGGAGCGCTCGCCGGCCCAGCACCGCACCCGAGCTAGCGACCGCTGCGGGAGGCGCGGGTGAGCCCGGCGGCCGCTTTGCTATCCCGGCCCTTTGGTCCTGGCCGTTGCTCCGGGGCCGGCAGAGCCTACGATGAACCTCGGCTCCAGGCGCTGGGCAGGCAGCGATATTGGGTCCAGGGCTCCAGCGATGACTCCGGTGGCGGCTCCGTTGTCCCTGGCTGTCAAGGCCCCAAACCCGGCAGTAGCCCCCACCTCCTATGGGGTCTTCTGCAAGGGGCTCTCTCGCACCCTGCTCGCCTTCTTCGAGCTGGCCTGGCAGCTACGGATGAACTTCCCGTATTTCTACATCGCAGGCTCGGTGATCCTCAACATCCGCTTGCAGGTACACATTTAGAAAAGTGACTAAGCTGCTGGCCTTGGGCGGCTAGCATGATGGCCGACTCCCAGGCATCCCCGGGACTTAGTGAACCTGCGAGCGAGGAGCTCGGAGTTCTCGCGAGGGGGCCCGGACGCACTCCGCGCCTGCGCTCTGCGCTCCTAGCGCTCCCTTGACCGTGGCGGAACCCCTGCTGGGACCAAAAAGAAGCCATTGGGGAGTCCGGGAACTGAGACCTTCGGCTAAAACCCCCCAAAATCAGAAACTTTGTATTCTTAAACTCCGATCGAATTCCAGGATATAACAGAAGGGCACAGAATATATATCCTTAAAAAGGAAGACCGAATTTTTCAGGAAAAAAAAATTGTGCAACAAATTCATGGCCTGAGTGAAAATTAAGAAATCAGTAAACTTAGGGAATACCGGTGTGGATTGTTAGCAAGACGCTGAAGAAAAAGCCGATGGTATTAAGGATATGAAGTGGAATGCATATGTATTTTCATCCTACGTGAAGGACAAAGCAAAACTGTACGGGAAAAACATCCTCTAAACACTAAATGTGAAATGCTGCACGATTTTAAACAAATGGTGGAAGCGTGAGAAAATGCATTCTGTTTTAATATCCCTGTGAGCAGCATTGGGATCACGATCTTTGCAAGAAGGAAATCCAAACAGCATAAAATTTGGCTATTCATTGAATAATATTTTACCATCATAATGCAAATTCTGTGTGTGGTTTTTTCCCCTTTTAAGGAAATATTTAATTATGGTTACAGAATAGAATGTGAAAGTCATTAGTCTTGATGTAAAAATACAAATGGGAATGTTGTAGGAGGGAGGAAAACGTAATTGGAAAGGTTTCGTGTTCTAATAAAGTGGAGAGTTGAGAGACACAGTCTGTTGTGAAGGGAAAAGAAGATGTTTTGTTACTTACAAGGTAGCCATGGTTTCTAAACTAGAAATATAACTATTAATAAAGTGGGAAGGTGGGAGGCGAGACCAGCATGAAGTCAACAGGAAATCCTGAAGATGGAGAGTTCAGGTAGGGCTCCTCAAAAAGAAAAATTGATACGGGTACCTGGTGTATTTGAATGTAGACTAGGAATTTTTCAAAGAGGCTGGGATGAATTATTAGTCTGCAGCCTTTTCAAAATTCAGAAAACAAAACTAATAAATCCAAGGAAAAATGAAAAGTTATAAAAAAAATATTGCAACTGAATATTAGTCATGTAAATTCACTTATAGATATTGACTACTAGTTTAGCAAATAATTATATAGCATTTGAGAAAATGGAAGAGGAGAGAGACATAATTGTGAAAAGTCAAATCAAGATTAATATGGGGGTGGAGGTGAGTGCTTCCCTAGCATCCACCAGGACTGGATTCAGTCTGTGTGTGTGAGTGTGTGTGTGTGTGTGTGTGTATATACCCATATATGTATATCTAGAAAAAGTGATACAAACATGTTTTTCAGAAATATCTGCAGTAAGAAACAGGTTACAAGCTGTTGTCTCTGGAAGAACAAAATAAAGGGTAGGTCAAAAAAAGGCCAAGTTTTGCTTTTTTTCACTACCAGTTTAATAGTATTATTTGATTTCTTTTAACTATGTGTAAGCTTTTGTTTAATTGAAAACTTACTTAAATACATTTCCTTTTTAAAAGTTCCCTAGGCGATTTAAATATATACCACTGGTTAAAAATCACAAGAGTAGAATGGGACTGAGCTGCTCAATCAGGCAAACTTCTTCAAATATTCATATTCTGTAGTTTTGTGGTGAGAGATGGATCCATTAATCTTCCTAAACCTAGTTCCTCATCTGTAAATGAGGGTAATACCCCCCACCTTGAAAGTTAGTCTAAGAACTAGAAGTAAACCTGCCCTAGTTCTTCATATATCCATAATAAACAATATTTCTTATAATAATACCATGTTAGAAAGTGAATAAGATGTAAAAGGACATACAGAAAGATGCTTTTCCAAAAGAAGGTAACAAGTAGGGTAGAGATCATAGCAGGATGGAAAAGATGCTCTAGAATGATCCCAGCTGAGATATTTGCACACAAGGGGGCCATGTTTGCCTAAGTAAAGATTTAAGCGCTGGCACTGTTCTATATTCTGGTTGTGTCTGTCAAACAATAGTCTTAAAATAAGAGGAGTCCTGCCCCTGCCTCACCTTACCTGGCTTTGGGCTCTTCCTACTCTATTCTTTTTCTGCAGCCAAACTTATCAAGTATATCTTCCTCTTCTATCTGCTTTTTTGCCCATAGATGTTCTTCCTGTTTTAAGGACAAGTTTAGGTGATACTTTTTCCATTATTTTTTCCCAAATTCCCCTGAACAGATTGGGGCTTACAATTTCTAGTCCATCTAAGATCTGTTAATATCAATGCTGTTTTTATAGGCTTCCCACATTTCCCTAATAGTAAGTTAATTATCTGGTTTTGTTTTTGTTTTATATATTCCAAGAACACAGATTTCTTGGATGACTAAGAGTAAAGAGCCAAAACATTTTACTCTAAAATATTATAAGGTAGTTCAGTCAATGAAATTGTAATACTGAAGCACTTAGAATAGTAGGTATCATATCCCAGAAGCACTAATGTCCCAGTTTGTAACATTTTAAAAATCTGTTTGCCATTAGCACTAAAATTGTGACACAGTGGAGTACTTCATTTTGATAACTGTATGAACATGTTTCCATCAGCTTTTTATTATTTTATCATTTATTACATTAAAGAAACTAAGGCCTTCATAGCAGTTAAAATATTTATCTCTTCCTCCCACTAGATTGGAAGCTGTGAGAAGGAAGCTTCTGTATCCTATCCAATCTTACATCCTGTAGTATCAGCAAATTAATAGTAGGATCTAAATGTCAGCTTGGTGATTTGCCCTTTCATCTTCATAAATGCTTTCAAACCTGGATATGTATTTTTCCTCTTACATGACGCAGTTTGGTGAAGTTTCCCAGGGAGAAAATGAAATTTATGCCATGACTAAACCTTTTACTGTTCTAATTCACAATTGATTTTATTCCTCTTGGCACACAGGAACATCCAGGAGGCCATGGATTTGTTTCCTGCTCTATCATCATGCCTAGAGCATTATTGTCTGATGCAAAGCAAAAAACAAATATTGCCAAATAGGTAAACAAATGCCAGTTTAGTTGGTTATTCAGTACAGTCAATAGTCGGTAAAGGAAACAAAGTTATGTTTGCCTCTAATATCAAAGTGTTCCACTTTATTACCCATAAATTGAATTTTTCAGATCATCATGAATGTTGATTTGTCTAGAGATCCCCTCAAGCATGAAGAAGCAGAGAGGTGGTGTGACTATTACACATAAAGAAAAAAAACTTGTTCATGAAGTATAACCAATTTTTAAAATTACTAAGGAATGGTAACTGTCATACTTTAATATGCTTTATCAGAGAATTAGTCAACATGGTAACATAAATGAAAGGGTAGAAGAGTTTTTTTATTTTTTTAATTGAAGGTAAAAGTGTGTGCTTATTTGACCTAAAGAGCAAATCATCACCATCAACATTTTTAATTTTATTGGGATTGTGAAGTTATTTAAATATATTAGCTCCATAATTCTCACATATATCATATGAGGAAAACATTTTTATCACTGTCTCTCAGATAAGGGAACAGGATTTAGATTCAGTTCCCAAGGTCATGGGAATTAAGTCTCTAGATGTCCCTAGAAGTATATTTCATAAGGGGTTCCATTTTCTTTTTTTCAGTGTTTAGGTGATTCCAAATAATCCTTTCTTCCAAATTGCCAAACAGAAATATGACCTAATGAAGAGTGAATTTCTTCTTTTTCTAATGTAATAGTAAGAGCCTTTTGTATTAGAATATAAATATTAAACAATTTTATATGTGAATTTAAGCATTTTATACTTTCTGCTGCCCTTTATCATTGGAAAAAGGGGACAAAAGCAAAGAGAAAAAAACATTTTTCCCTAAAATGGAAGGGAAGTATTTTCCTCTTTTATACACAGTATATATCAGGCATCTTGAATTTTGATCCTTGCTGTCCTGATGTGCTGTAACTAAATTTTCTATTACAGAATCTTGCAGTTTGATTTTTAATGGAGGATTTTTCTGCCTTTGATGCAGTCAAGAAGAAATAAGGCATACACATGGAGGCATAAAAGGTAGAAATGAAAGTTGAGTATTATAGGAACAAAAGGTGAGGGGACAGAAAATTCTACTTCTAAAAACTTTGAGCATGGAGAATAACCTCAAGACTAGATTTGGGACATTTTTAAGCACACAGACCAAGAAAGGGATCTTGGAAAAACTATTAAAATTCCTAAAACTTGGGTTGGATGAAGTCACGTCAGTCCATTACTTAGTTTCCTATGAATTTGCGGGATTCTCTTGCAATTTTAACAAGAACACTTGTGCTGTGATCTAAATGTTTATGTCCTTCTGACCTTACTAAATTCATAATGCTGAGATTTTAGCCCTCAAGTTGATAGTATTAGGAAATGGGATTTTTAAGAGGCTATTATGTCATGAGGATGTGAGCCTTCATGAATGGGATTCGTGCCTTTAAACAGGAGTCCCAGAGAATGTTCACTTTCATGTACAGTTAAGAGTGAAAACAGAGCCATCTATGAACAAACAAGGGGACCCTCACCAGATGCTGATTTGTCTATGTACTTCTTAGCCTCCAGTCGTTTAAGAAATAAATTTCTCTTGTTTATAAGTCACCCAGTTCCTGATAGGTTGTTAATAATAGTTTAACAGTCTGAATAGATTGAGACAACTTGATAGCTTATTGCTCAGCAGGATTCCCATCAGGCCAGCTCATCAATCTCTTTCAGGACAGAATTAAACCTCCCCCACCTACATGCTCCATAAATACAAAATCAGCAATGTCCTTGGGAGAATTGATGGGCCAAAGGACATCTCCAATTGCCTGCTACAAGTGAAAATAAGAAACTAAGCAATTCTGATAAGCTAAATGACAGGACATCTGAGGGTTTCTATCCTGATTAGGAATCTGCAATGAACTTGAGAAAATCTTGACCATCTTTACGATTTTCAACACCAAATATTCACAGTGAGGTAATGACATGCATCAGCAAATAACAGAAGAATAGAGTTCTTTTGTAAATTAGTGAGGGAAGTTGGGTGTGCCTTTTCATGAACCAAAATAAGGAAAATAAGTCAGCTGCAACCAATAATATAATAACTAGAATGTCTTAACTGAAATCATCTACAAATGAAGTTAAAAAAGAATAAAAGAGAAACTTTAAAATTCATATACCAGGTTATATCTACAAGAGAGGGAAACTGAATTACTTCTAAAACCATCTCATTTACATGTAGGCAATAGGGGCAGTAATAAAGTTGGTATTGAGCCTTTGTCCTCTGAAAGTGCACCTACATTGGTACCCCTCCCCCCACGCACCAAATAACTAAAAATAGTCCATCTGTCATCTTTGGTTTCTTATACAAATAAATCTGTCACCCACCCCAAAATTTTTAACATTTTTGTAAATTGTTCAGACCAACCATCTGACCAATTTTTTTTTAAATTGGAGATTTATTCTTAGCAATCCGGATTAGAGTATAGGTCACTCTACACAGTGCTAACCAGTGTTTCCCAATGAGTAGACTGTAAAGTGGAGGTTTTGCAGATGTCCCTTTGTCTGCAATTAAAGAAGTCCCTGGTTCAAAGGATATTAAATTAAGAGCAGCAGCAAACCAGCTAAACCATCCAAGATTAACTCAAGAAATATATATTGAAATATATATTGATCCATGCATACTTCCAGAAAATTTCAAAATAACATGGCTTGACTACTCTAAAATATATTCTCAGCTTAAATTTTAACCTGATGGCAGGGCTTACATATAAGCCTGTTTGGGCAGTTCTTCTATAACTCAATGGTATGACCACACTGGGAAGAAAAGGAGGGAGAGTAGTTCATGATTAAAAGTTCATTGTTAGGGGAAAGTGACTGGTAAGAAATCAATGACGATCATTTTTTTCCCCAAATATGTGGCCCTAGTGTTGGATACAATTCTCTCCAGATCCCATGACACCAGTTATAATAATAGTGTTCTTAGATTCTAGTTTGGGCCTCCAACACAGGCTCTTATTATGAGTGTTGGTACAGAGCTTAATCTTAAAATACCATTATACTAGAATGCAATATATTAATAGCCACTGTCCCAGCCTATGCCCTAGGCTTTGTCTTTTTTAATTAACTTATTTATTTATTTATTTTAATTAGGTATATATGACAGCAGAATGTATTTTGATTCATTGTACATAATTGCAGCATAACTTTTCATTTGCCTGGTTGTACACAATGTAACATCGCACTATATGTGCAGTCATACACATACCTAGGGTAATGATGTTCATCTCATTCCATCATCTTTCCTGCCCCCATGCCCTCTCCCCATTCCACCCTCCCCTTTGCCCAATCAAAGTTCTTAGGCTTTATCTTTTAAAGGTCATTTTCTGTGCTTCTATTATAAGGAATAGGTAGGCCTTCCTCCTTATAGCTCCAACTTTCCA